CTAGGTTCTTTTCAGACGTTTTCAAGACTGCTAGAATTAAGGCTTAGCTTATTGAGTCGTTATAAGGAGGACATTTCAGTATTTTGGCTGATCCTATGTATATGGTCTTCTGCATTATCCAGAGTGTTGTAATGATTTTTTTACTAGCAAACACAGCCCTACCAATTTGTCAGGGGAAGAGGACAACTGAAATGACACTGGACAACAAGACAAAGGGGAGTAGGGGCGATGTGCCGATGCGGTTGGCGAGGCTCATCCGACCGGAGGTCTCGGAATCAGAGCCTATGACCAGGCATCAATGGGAATGCAGCTAGGGACGGAGGGAGATCAAGTGAGAGAGAGAGAGAGAGAGAGAGAGAGAGAGAGAGAGAGAGAGAGAGAGATAGATAGATAGAAAGAGAGAGAGAGAGAGAGAGAGAGAGAGAGAGAGAGAGAGAGAGAGAGAGAGATAGAGAGAGAGAGAGAGAGAGAGAGAGAGAGAGAGAGAGAGAGAGAGAGAGAGAGAGAGAGAGAGAGAGAGAGAGAGAGCCACGAACAAGAGAGATAGAGATAGAGCAGGGAGTCGTCAAATACTGTATTTGACGACTCCCTGAGATAGAGCCACGCGAAAGAGAAATAGAGATAGAGCCACTCGAAAGAGAAATAAAATAAGGAAAAGATGATGGACGAGGGTTTTTTTTGCTATCGAACACTCACTGCATGGTGAACTAAAATGAGGAGGAGAACTCGACACAATGGTACATATCCAGCAGGACGGAGTGGATGGGACCTGTGAAGCTCAGCCGACCAAGGGTCTCGGCATCACAGCTGCACATGTGCACCAAAGCCAAAGGAAACAAAATGGGGAGTGGAAGGGCGGGGAGCAGGAGAGCAAGAACTCTAAGCTAAGGGTACGAAAGAGAGGAGGGAGGGGAGGAAACCAAGAAACTTGTTATTCCAAGGTATGAGTACAAACAAGTACGCAAACAAGTACAAAGATAGCAGTATCAAGATCATGATGCTGAGGCGAAAGTAGAGGCTGATTGCCGAGCAGTTTTGATGAGAGATTAGAGTGAGAATGGAGGAGAGTTAGAGAGAGATAAAGACAGATGGATTGGGAATTTGATGAGAAGGGATTGCTCCGAGAACATGAACAGGGTCGTACTGGCAGTAGCCTAGGGGGCGATGTCCGTGGCCAATGACCAACCCGACTGTTTCAGGTAGAGGTAGGTCAGAACCTTGAACTGCTGCATCCCTTTCGGCAGGCGGTGCATCGCGGAGGAAAGTGGCTGGCAGTTAATTCCAGGCTTCGATGAGGCACTCCGGGAAAGAGCGCATCGCAACATTGCACGATCTGGCAGGTAGGGCTGTCTGAAAACAAGACAGCGAAAAATCACTCCAGCCGCTATAAAGCAAGCAAAACTGTTTCTTCTATCCAGGTTTACAGCTTTAGTTTTTCAGTAATCTCAACGCCGAAGGAAGTGCTAAAACTAGTAACGGTGGAACTGCATGCATTCCATTCATGCACATGCAGCACCTGATCACATAAGCACGCAACAAGCCTAAAATCCGTGTACTTTGCACATCCCGTGCACTTGACAAGCTAAGCCTGGGCGCATCAATCGCATGCAACTTTTCGAGCGCTTATTTGGCATATCATCTATTGGACTCGTCCATTGTATACCTTTGGCTCTTATTTGCTATTGTGCTACTGTGCTGTTGCTGATATGAACACTATAGTCTATACTACACCGTGTCCCTATGTTGAACATCACTTTGAACATCACTTTGAACATCACACTGTCACATTCGAAGTCGGTGTGGCCTCCAAAATACAATCGGAAATTCCGCAAGTACTCTATGGAGCATGCAGCGGAATTCAGGTTGTATACATTCTTGACGTCACCTCCTTATTAATATTATTAATAAGGAGGTGAACCTCCTTATTAATATTATTAATAAGGAGGTGAAGGCAAGAATGTTGCACTGTGTTCCCGCCCTGGCATGTATCCCGTTGACCCTACAGTAGGCTACACTGTCCATTCTTACTGACGATGTAAGGTGCTTTCCAGTCTCGCGTCCTAAAAGGCCAAAGGAAGATGGTAGAGAGGAGACTTTTATGGCAACGAAGAGAAACAAGGAAAAAATCACTTTGAAACGCTAGGAATTAACATGAAAATCGAGCGAGTTTAGGCCCAACACACTTGTTGTTGTTGTTGATTTTTATTTTGCTTCGCACGGCCAAACGGGCAATGGTGCCCAATTCTATGGAAGCGAATTTCAAAAGGGAGAGAGCTACGGGGAGAGAGAGAGAGAAAGAGAGAGAGAGACTGTCACATTCTTGCCTTCACCTCCTTACACAACCTGAATTCCACTGCATACTCCATAGAGTACTTGCGTAATTCCCGATTATTCATCCAATTTTTGTTTTGCCAGGGTGCATCCTTATTTGGGGAAGTTCAATCTCGTAGCTACTCACGGATCAAACAGCCCAACGACTCCAAACGAAGCCAAACTACAT